CATCTCCTGTTCAGTGCCAACTCCTGAGTCACAGGGAAGCTTTAAAAGCCTTTAAGGAGCTTCTGGGGAGTTTCTTGTTTCAGATCCTCTCAGATCCTCTCAGACAATGGGTTTGTCATCTCACAGAGTCTCCTCTCGGGCTCCTCCCCTGCAGTTGTGAGCTGCGCTTTGCATTTTTAAGAATTTCATTCTAATCCCTTGAAGGCCGGGGTGGGGGGAGAAGGGTGGGGATGATTCCCCAGATGTGTTTAGGGTTCCTAGGTGGAAGATAACGATGTTTCCTCACTTTCTGTGTGTTTGATCTTTGCTCCCCCAGGGAAGGAGGTGCTGTCCTCTCCGAAGCTGACCCACAAGAGAGCGTTCAGCGATGATGTGTCTCAGGTCAGCCCCGTGCTGGAGCCCCGAGCAGTTCAGAGCCTGAAGCCCAAAAACGAGCCCACATCACGCTCSTCTCTGTGCATCAACGGCAGCCACGTGTACGGGGATGATGTCCTGAGGAGCCCCGTGCCCCCATCCTCTGCTCCTCTACCCGTGCCCAGGAGGCAGGAGGAGCCTTTTGGCTTTGCCCCGTTGCATCCTGAACCCCACGAGGTGCCCTGGGCGCTGGGCAGCCTGGACAGGGCTCAGCACAGAGATGAGCCCAGGTTTATCCCATCCCCGCCCAGCCTGGCGCTGCAGGAGGAGCTCAAAGTGTCCACCAAAGCCGTGACCCTCAGCAACCACCTGGGCAGGGCACGGCTGGAGGAGGGCAGAGGTGGTGCTGAACCAGCTGAGGATGGCAGGAAGGAGGACAGGAAAGCCAAGGGAGGCTTTTTCCAGCACGGCAGCAAAGGTGACAGAGCCACCCCCGTTCACACTGCGGCCACGGGTGATGACAGGAGCAAGAGCAGCGCCTGGTTCGGCTCCAAAGAGCCCAAAGAGTCCCCTCAAAAACCCAGGTCAGTGCAAGCCCAGGTCCAATCTGCTGATTCCTGCCCCAAATTCCCATCTCCAGCAGCTCTGCTGGTCAGAGCGCCCAGACACTCCCAGGCTCTGATGCTTGAGCAAAATCAGAGCAGGGAAAATGATCATAAACCTCTCCAAAAGAAGGAGATTTTCCTGGATTCTCCCCTGGTTTCTGCCAGAAAGCACCATCCATGGATGTGGGATGTATTTTCCACTCTGGGCAGGGAGGGATCCCCRCCATGGAGAGGTTTCCCTCTGCTCACTGTGGTCACACCGAGCRTTTCTGTGGCCTCAAAATGAAGGATTGTTATCCTTTAATGAGCTCCAAAAGCTTCCCTGGCAGTCAGGCCAGGATGTGGGATATTGGGATGTGTAATCACATTATTTGTGTGATCCCCCCAGCCCTGATCTGCTCAGGGGGTGCAGATAACGTGAGATTTTATTGATATTCCCCAAAAAAAAGTGATTAATGCCAGCCCTGCTCCTTCCTCCTCCATCCCATCCCACCCATTCCCCTTCCCTGTTATCAATCTCTAACCATTCTTGCTTTGTGTGGTGATCCATCCCTCCCCATCCCTGGATTCTGTGCTGTTTGTGTTGTTTTGTGAGGAATTTATCACCCTGGAGCTCCCAGAACCGAGCTGGAGTCCAGTTTGTGCTGTTTTGTGAGGAATTTATCACTCCAGAACCGAGCTGGAGTCCAGTTTGTGCTGTTTTGTGAGGAA